TTGTGTGTGTGTGTGTGTGAGTGAGTGTGTGCATTTGTGTGTGTGTGTGTGTGCGCGTGTGTGTGTGACTGTGTGTGTGTGTGTGACTGTGTGCGTTTGTGTGTGTGTGTGTCTGTGTGCATTTGTGTGCGTGTGACTGTGTGCGTGACTGTGTGCGTTTGTGCGTGTGTGTGACTGTGTGCGTTTGTGCGTGTGTGTGTGTATGCGTTTGTGTGTGTGTGAGTGAGTGTGCGTTTTTGTGTGTGTGTGTGCGCGCGCGTGTTTGTGTGTGTGTGTGAGTGAGTGTGTGCATTTGTGTGTGTGTGTGTGTGCGCGTGTGTGTGTGTGCGTTTGTGTGCCTGCCTGTTTGACTGTTTACGTGGAGCGGTAGGGCTGATATATGTATTTCTATCTCTCTCGCTTCCTCAGAGGGTGGTGTATTATGTGTGTGTGTGTGTGTGAGGTCACACGTGTGTAACTCCTGTCGGTTCTTTCAGAGCGAGCCGTGACCACGGACGGACGCTATCTGTTCCCTGAGGATTTAGTTCAAGGTTTGTCTCTTATAAACTGGAGCAGGCTCTTTTACACTCATCTTACAGCGCTTTACCGTCCAAACGTCTCGCTGCTGCTTTCTGACTGAGAGTCTCCTGCTGCTCTTCGCTTCTCGCTCAGTGTTTAGTGCAGGAAATCTGTGGCCGGTTTGATCAAGGGGTTATGGGTTTGAGTCACAGAAAACGTTTTAATAAACAAACATTAAATGCTCAGTACAAGTCTGTGACATGCTGGTTCATCTGCTGTAATGATAATTTTTTTAAACTTTAATCTTTGGTACTCCTATTTTCTGTAAATTAAAAATGTCAAGATTCCAAAAGTTTCCAGACCTGAATGTTCTTTAGGGCTTCGAGTCATTCCTGATTTTCTGGATAAGGATTAAGAAAAAGGATATTCGTTTTTTTTATATTCATAAGGATATAATATTTTTACTAACATCCTCTCGGGGTTATTATCATTAACTAAACAAAACAATCAGAGCGAAAAACAACTGTTACTTGAATTAAAATGAGCATTAACTAAGATTTAAAATTTTAAAAATTGTAGTACTAAAATTGAAAAAAAAAAAACTATACAGACATTTTTAAAACAATAAAAATGGCAAAAACACAACAAACTAAAACTTTAAAATTCAAATTACAACAAAATATATAAAAATAAAAACTAATTTAAAATATAAAACTAGAATAGTGTATTAATGATACTAAAATAACACTGATTTCTACTCTGTAAAATATTTCATAGCTTGGCTTGGCATAACTAAAAAATTTATATTATTAATTATTAAAATGCTGTTTTAAGATTTTATTAGTTTACGTGACTTTACCAAGTCTAGAAATCACAATTGTAAAGTTAGTTTTCCTTATATATCCCGGTTTTCCAAGGCCATGTGAATCCTGGTTCTTCAAAAAAAAAAAAAAAATCTATTGAATTAATATCTAGAATATAATATAAATATCTAGATTTTTAGCTGTTTTGCTTAAAAGCTGATTTTGTCTGATTTTTAAAATAATTTTCTCATTTTTTGTCTGATTTTTAAGTCATCTAGAGTCTGTGCAAAACAATTTTTCAAATCAGCATTATGTCACAGATACAGTTGTATTGAATCTTTAAAATTGGTTACAGAATTGAGTTGTGTAAGAGAGAAACTTTAATCAAATGATCTCTGTTGATTTGCTTCTTCACCTTTTCTTGACTTTTGATCTTCTACTTCTGCAGATCTTGTGCTGCAGCCTGATGCCTAAAAACATGCAGCATCTCTGTGTGTGGCACAGCGTTTCTGACTCACATGTTCTCTGTTTTTCCTGCAGAGCGTCTGGATCTGGACGACCCGCAGTGGGAGGACATTCACGTCATCACCGGAGCGCTCAAGCTGTTCTTCAGAGAGCTGCCCGAGCCGCTCGTGCCGTACGGATTCTTCCACGACGTCGTCGAGACCGTCAGTGAGTGACGACGAGAAAACCAGAGGAGATGCATGAGAAATGATTCATTAGAAATGACTCAATGCTTCTGTGTCCTGTAGAGCTATCTGATTACCTGGATAAGGTGGACAGACTGAAGCTGCTGGTCCTCAGCATGCCTCCACACAACCAGCACACATTACAACACATGATCCAACACCTCAGACGGTACGAACACTCACACACACACACACACGTGTGAATTAACATACATGTCAGAATCTTTTCATGTTTGAAGTCTTAATGTGTTTGAAAAAGGTGAATTTTAATGGATACATGAATTCAATTCTCCTCAAATTCTCAGTAATTTTTGTCTTGTTTTCAGTGTGTGTGTGTGTGTGTGTGTGTGAGAAAAACTCACTTAGTTTTGAAAAATATTTCACTTTATATCTTAAATCATTTTCCTTTGCAAGTAAATGTATCTTGATTTAAGAGTGTTTAGATATTTGTACTGGAAAACAAGACAAATACTTAAGAAAATCATTTTTTTGGAGTTTGGTCGAGGACTCACAGGTGTAGAGAACCACATTATCTATCAACATCATCCACTTTCTTGTGATTTTAATCATATGGATCACGCTTGAATAAAAACACTTACTTTGTAGAACCTTTTCATATTTCTGCTGCTTTTAGTGTGCAGTTCAGCGCTTCAAAACAAATTAAGTGAATCATTTGCAAAGCAGTTGATTCAAACGTTCAAAAAGCCTCCTTTCAGTCACTATTCACAGCCACAAAATACTTCCTAAATCTCAACCCTTGTTTTTAATCTCAAATCAAACAAACTCTTCCCTGCTTTTAAGTGCTCTACTCTTTGATTGATCCATAATGACACTCACCTTATCACGCTCTGATTGGATTGCTCTAGTCTCCGCCCACTTGTCCTCCACCAATGAGAACACACGATTGATCTCAGCTGATCAGAATAAGGAGATTTGAAGCTCCAGACCAGGTTTCTCTCTTTATTTATCTGTCTTTCTGTAGTATATGATAATAAAATGATCTCTTCTGGGTTCATATTTTGTGTAGTTATAGTTGGTTGGACTGAAAGGCAGTGAAACTTAGCTGTTTGTGATGAAAGTGTTGTGATTAAGACACTAGAGGGCGCCATGTCTTCATTACAAACACTCTGAGATCACTCAAGAAATAGATAGGATGCATGCTTGTTTTGTGCCTTTTTGTCATATTTTTGTTGTCCTCAGTATTTAGTTAAGCATGACAAAACAGTGAATCATTTGCAAAGCAACTGATTCATTTGATTCAAATTTTTAAAAAGCCTCAACTCAGTCATCGCTCTTCACAACCACAGAATACTGTCTTTCATTTTCAACAAAACAATTAAAGTAATATCAGCGGTTCACTATAAACCTGGATTTAGTCTATGCCATAATACAGACAGAAAATACAACATGCAAGGAAATTATGCTCGGAATAAGAAAGGTGTTTTATAACTTGATGTCTGAGATTTTCTGGATTATCAGGAAAGCATCGATGTTCTGCCGCTTTAAGAAGCCAGAAAACAAGACGCTGAATGAATTGAACCTCCAATAAAACATCAAGAATCATCATCAGCACATGAAGAACCATGAAGAACCACAAATAATGCTTGCGTCTTTTTGTTGTTGTTCTCTGTGGCTTGTTTTGAGCGTCAAAGCAGTGAGTCATTTGCTTCAAATGTTCAAAAATCCTCTTTTCACTCATCGCCATTCACGACCACAACATACTTTTTGTCTTCATTTTTCAACTTTAGACACAAATGGCTGTTGGTCAGAAGAAACAGAGCAAAGAAAGATCACACATGAGATCTCTTTAACATCTCAGTTGTTTCTTGAAGTAAAAATGGAGTCTTTTGCAGAGATGTTACTCCATTTCTCTCACACATCTAGAGTTTGAGATCTTAGACTTGTGCTCATTGTTCTCTCCGAGCTGCTCCACATTCATTTTATACATTATGCATTTAGCAGATGCTTTTATTCAAAGTGACTTGAAGTAATTCGAAAGCAATTCGTCAAAAGCGCCGATAACATTCTTAATATAAACAAAGCAAGGTTTATTAGACTACTTAAAAAAAAAAAAAAAATTTTAGTTCAAGGACCGTTGAAAATCATTTTACAAAACAAAGTGTACTTACAAAAATGTGACTCTGCATGAAGAAAATAAAACAAAAAGCACACGTTTCAGTCATCTTCTTCAGTGCTAAACACAAGAACATTAGTCAACAACATCTATACAAGTCTAGACACTAATTGGAGACGCCAGATGATCAGCTAAATCAGCTGGATAGTTAATTAACTATACAATGACTGATTAATTGACAATTAACACCCGCATTTGTAAGTCTTACAAACCAACTCCATCATCAAAAAATAAATAAATTAATTAATTAATTAATTAAAAATGAATTAAAAATAAAAAAGTAATAATAATATTTTTTTAGGTGATGAAATGTGCGCTTTTTCTTTTTTATTCTTTGTGCACAGTCACATTTTTATGAGTACACTGATGTTTTGTTCATCTCTTTCAATGTGAATTTTGAAGTAAAATCGTTTTCAATGGTCCTTGACTCTTCTTTTTTTTTCTTCTTTCTTTCTTTCTTTAAAATTAGTTTCATTACTGCATCTATGCACCCACTAAACATGTTTCATATATAAATTGGAGCAGAACTTCTTCACGTTATTAGACAGCTACCCAGAATGTTCTGGCAGGGTTCTCTCAAAGTTATGAACAAACGTACAAAAATTCATTCAAAGTTGCACTCTTCAAAATAAAGGTGCTTCACGGTGATGCCATAGAAGAACCTTTTTTGTCTGAATGGTTCCATAAAGAAGCTTTAACATCTGAAGAACCTTTCTGTTTCACAAAAGCTTCTTTGTGGTGAAAGAAGGTTCTTCAGATTCTAAAAAGCTCAGAAAAAGATGGTTCTTTAAAGAACCTTTGACTGAATGCTTCTTCTATGGCATCGCTGTGAACAACCTTTTAAGCAGCTTTATTTTTAAGAGTGTACCTGGTCTTTCATTTACTAATGTTCACACAAAAACATGATTTATACATTGATCATGGAATGATTTATTTCTGAAACATTTAAAAAACGTCTTTTAAATGTTACACGTTTCAGAATGTTCAGAGAGCATTCAAATGTAACGCTCCCATGTTTGCAAAATTACGAAATGGAATGTTTTTAAAACATTCGATTTTGAATGTTCCGAGAAAGTAAAAAAAAAAAAAAAAATCATGTTTTAAAGGGAGCGTTATTAAAACATTCCTTGAACATATTTTTGTAGGTTGTGTAGATTATGAGTTAGTATAGTCTTCTAGATCTGTTGAGGAGAAACATCTAAGCCAAAGTTGAACTAAACAAAGCTAGAGAACATGAAGATCTTCTGTGGTTTGGTATCTCTGGAGGAAGTAACTCTTCGCTTCTCTTTTACTTTCCTTTTTTAACGTGGAAGTTTTGAGCAGCTGCTGGATCAGCGGTTTGGTGGAAACGCTGACATTAACCCTTCGCTGTGTCCGTTCAGGGTGATGGAGCGCTCCGACAGCAACCGCATGACCACGCAGAACATCGGCATCGTGTTCGGCCCCACGCTGATGCGCCCCGAGAACGAGAGCGGAAACATGGCCATTAACATGGTGTATCAGAACCAGGCCGTGGAGCTGCTGCTGAGCGAATACCAGCGGATCTTCAGAACCGAGCAGACGGGATCCTACTGAAACAATCCCAGACTGCACTGGGACACGAGGACGAGTCTGGAGACAGATGGACTCAGATCTGCATCATTACTCCACAAACTCACCGGAGATATATGAGAGGCGTTTATGAGAACACGACCGGGTCACATTTCAGCTCAGATGTCAGAAATAATAATAGTTATAAAAATAAATTATATTTTGCATAAAGAAAATTAATTTTTAGGATCATTAAGATAACATAGTAATATTATTTTATTGTATAAACATCTTTTTTGACTGTTTTTAAGTTCTAAAAAATTTATATAATATTTTGCATGAAGAAAATGAATTCTTAGGCTTATTAAGACAACAGTATGATATTATTTTAATCACAATTAAACACATTTTTTTCATAAATTCTTGAAACATCCAGACATTTACATTTTTAAATAAATTTTTCTTCGACAGGAATAATTCACATAAGTTCTAAAAAATAGAATTTATATTTCACATATTTTTAGGATCATTAAGATAATTTTGATATAAAGTCTCAAAGCATCCAGACATTTTACGTTTTTAATTGTTTGACAGTAATCATTCTCTTAAGTTCTAAAAAATATGAATTATATTTTGCAGAAATTCTTTTTTTTTAGGTTTTTAAGTTAACACTATGATTGATATTATTGTAATCACAATTAAGCACATTTTGACCATAAAATCTCAAAGCATCATACTTTCTTTGCAGTAAAAATAAAAAAGGTTTTATGCTATTGTACAATAGAAATAATAGTCAAATTATAAAACAGTAAGAATAATTAATTATAATTTAATTAATAATAATCTTTATGCAAAAATATAACTTCTTTCATTTGATGTTTTTGAGTGACCTGAAAATGTTCGTGACGGGTTTTTTGTGAGATTCACTCAAGCTTATTTGTGTGTGTGTGTGTGTGATTCGTCTTCAGATTTCATCCCTAGTACCTTTTAACCTTTTTTTTTTTATCTAAAATGATTCCCCACTCAGAGCTCCTGCAGATTTAATGCACAAGAACACAAAGGACAAAACACTGTCAAATAAACTGGATGCATTTCTCTCCAAAATGCAATGCAATTCCCTTTCCATTGTTCCGATGCATGTGTGCGTGTGTGTGTGTGTGTGTGTGAGTGTGTGTGTGTGTGTGAGAGTGTGAGTGTGAGTGTGAGTGTGACATATGTTTAAAAAATGTGCATCCCCTCCCGCCCCATGACGTGGTTTGGTAATTTTATATGGACTGTGGCTTTGGCTCTCGACTGAAAGAGCCGGGCAGAAGAACAAGAACCGGGAACGCGTACACATTTTAATGTTTGATTTTATATATTTATTCATTTTTATTTTCTTATTATTTCAATTCCACGAGCGGCCACAAAGAAGGTTTCCAGAGGAGAAGCAGAACAGAAAGGACTGATGTTATATTATTCTTCATCATTTCTGACGGCACGCATAATTATGAACCTTCACGGCCTGTTTACTGACTCAAAATAAGACGCTTAAATGATTTAAGCTCACCTTCATGTCACTCCAAACCTTCTGTCAAACATTTTCATGCAGTTATTTTCCATAAAACGATAGCAAATGTGACTCCTAAAAGGAAGAAGAAACAGAATTTATGCATTGGAAATGTTCTTTGCTGCAGATTTCATATATCTGAGCTGTCTGTTGTTGTATATAGAGCTGTGAATATCGGGCTAAACTTCTGGTTTTGTGTTCATTCAGAAGAAATGGAGAGAAAATGAGAGTTCACCTTTCATTTGTAGGTGAACGAGTCCTTTAGAGAGAAACAGGCTTTCGTGATTCATTTGGGTTCATCGTCTGACTCTCCTCACGTTCTCTGTGTTTCTGAACACTCTCCTACACTCATGAAATATTATATTTTAATATGAGAGCTCTCAGTTTTGTGTGAATGTTTCCTTTTCATAATCTGTCTAGTATGATAACGATGAGTAGTCATAAAACATCAGTTCATCAGACCACATCCATAGCCAGAGTGACTTGCATTTTCTCCCTTTAAATTCTGTATTTCAGAATTATGACAATAAAAACAGAAAAACTGTTCGGAAAGAGCTTCTGCTTTGGATTTATTCTGAAGTGACAGTTATGTGTGGATCTCATAAAAAACATGACCATTTAAGCTCTTATGTTTAAAAAAAATATATATATTTTTTTTGCATAAAGAATTTTTTTTAGGATCAAGATAACATTTATTTAATGACAAAAGCATCCAGAGGATAAAAAAAGGAGTGACGACAGTGTTGGACGAGAGAAGACCAGGCCTGAATTTAATTTTGTGTTCTGGTTCTGTTTGTGCGCGAGGGGCTGTTGCGCTATTTTGCGTTTATTTTATTATCAAAGTTTTCTTTTAACGTTCGCCGGTTCCCGCCTCCTTCTTCCCGTGACTACGAACTGTGTTACAAGACGTATGAGTGCTGCCAGCATTGCTGCAGAGGTTGAAGGGGTGGGGGGGCAGCCTGTCAGTGCGCAGACCATACGCCGCACACTGCATCAAATTGGTCTGCATGGCTGTCGTCCCAGAAGGAAGCCTCTTCTAAAGATGATGCACAAGAAAGCCCGCAAACAGTTTGCTGAAGACAAGCAGACTAAGGACATGGATTACTGAAACCATGTCCTGTGGTCTGATGAGACCAAGATAAACTTATTTGGTTCAGATGGTGTCAAGCGTGTGTGGCGGCAACCAGGTGAGGAGTACAAAGACATTTTGCATAATTTTTTTTAGGATCAAGATAACATTTATTTAATGACAAAAGCATCCAGACGTTTTGTTTTTTATTGGTTGATTGATTGATTGATGGTAATAATTCTCTTAGGTTCTAAAAAAATAAATATTTTGCAAAAACAAATGAATTTTTAGGATAATTAGGAAAACAGTATGATATTATTTTAATCCCATTTCAACACATTTTTGCTATAAATTCTCAAAGCACCCAGACATTTTATGTTTTTTAATTGTTTTTTTGTTGTTGACAGTAATAGTTCTCTTAGATTATAAAAAAACAGAAATTATATTTTGCATAAAGAAAATTAATTTAAATTTCATTAAGATAACATGGTATTATTTTAATAACAATTAAATAAAGCATCCAAACATTCCACATATTTTAATTGCTGATAATAAGTAATGATAATTTTGCATGAAACAATATAAATTTTTAGGATCATTAAGATACTATGATATTATTGTAATAGATTTAAAAATATATTTATTTATTGACAGTAATAATTCTTTTAGGTTCTAAAAAATAGAAAAAATATATTTTGCATAAAGAAAATAAATTTTTAGGATCATTAAGATAACATTATAATATTAATTTACCTTCTGTTGTGGATTTATTTTAAATTGCATCAGGATCGGTTCATAAGACGCTTCACACACATTATAATATATATATATATATATATATTGCATGAAGTGAATTTTTTAAGATCATGAAGATAACATTATATTAGTATTTTAATGACAGTTAAACACATTTTTGCCACAATTTCTCAAAGCATCCAGACATTTTTTTTGTTTTTTAGTTCTTTTATTTCAACAATAATAATTCACTAAGGTTCTAAAAAAAAAAGAAAATATATATTACATAAAGAAAATACATTTTTAGGATCATTAAGATAACATTATAATATTCATTTACCTTCCGTTGTGGATTTATTTTAAATCGACGGGCATCAGGATCAGTTCATAAAACGCTTCATACACATTATTAACACGCAACTAAATCATAAACGAATCATGCAGTGTTTCATATATGATTTATTGTTATTTAACCAAGTTTACTGGGTGACTTTTCATTTCTTTAGTGGCGTTTGCATTGTTTTATGCTGTAGGAACTTCACGTCTTGTTCTCAGAGACGCAGACGAGCAACATCTCTGAACCCAGAGATCATCATATTTTATTAAAACTGGGAAACAGCATCCGCTGACGTGAACCGCACTGTTTAGGTGGAGGCCTGAAATCAGTGCAGATTTGAGTCAGTCGTGTAAACGTGCTTCCCCGCCTCACCACGGTAAAGTCACACACTTACCTCAGCGCCACTCATTTCATGTCATTAGAAAGAAAAGCAGCAGAGTTCAAAGAAACTGATGGCGCTCCTGCCGTTAGATTTATGATCTGTGGGACCAAGCTTCGTAATAACCCTGAAACGGCATTTTAAAGTCATTGCAAATATTGTGTTTCTAGAGATTCGACTTCGTTTTAGAGCAGAATGATTAAAGTGAGAGATGCAACACTCTAAAATAATGCTTTGAGAAGCACAATAAAAACTCCCGCGTCTGTGTTTTCCAAAATATGTACAACTTTATTACAAAGATTATGTATTAAAGCTTAAAAATTTCATATAAAAACAACACTGGTGAAAATAGCGCACCGTTCTGGTGCGACGTTCACGTTTACAGAGAGTTAATAGTAGAAAAGTCAAGCACTAAATGAATGAAGGCAGATTTAAAGCACCGTTTGCATTCTGTTCATTAAACTCCTGCATGTTTAAAGAGCAGACGTTTGCATAATTGGCAATATTGTAAAGCTCGTATTCAGTGCGACACATGCTAGACTGGCTTTCTTTCTGGAAAGGACACTTTATGAATGGATTGCATCATGAACATGATTTGGTGCATCAGAGTTTGTGCAAATATTAATAGCTATTATGTTGAAATATTTAATATTTCACTACATATGGTTGTCTCGTGTTAATAACCTGAGCTCTTAAAATGCATCAAATTCATGAAAACTTCTAGGTCATATTTCACTCCAAAAAATAAAATAATAAAAAATAAAACAATATAATAATAATAATATATAATTGTAATTTATTTTTATTTATTTATTTTTCCTTACAGTAATGACAATTTAATGCCAGTGCGAAAAATCTTAATGGTTCTAAAAACGGGCATATTTTCTTTATGCAAAATATAATTTATTTTTTATTATTATTATTATTTTGGTGTGAAATATGACGTTCACATATACTTGGTATAATGTAAATTATATTTTGTATTAAAAAAAATAAAGCTTTCTTTCGATATATATATATATATATATATATATATGTGCTACAATAATTAGATTTTTAT